ATGTTGTTGTTAGATGTTGTTGTTAGATGGTGTTGTAGATGTTGTTGTTAGATGTTTTTGTTAGATGTTGTTGTTAGATATTGTTGTTAGATGCTGTTGTTAGATGTTGTTGTTAGATGTTGTTGTTAGATGTTGTTGTTAGATGCTGTTGTTAGATGTTGTTGTTAGATGTTGTTGTTAGGTGCTGTTGTTAGATTTTGTTGTTAGATGTTGTTGTTAGGTGCTGTTGTTAGATGCTGTTGTTAGATGCTGAAATTTTAATTTTCTAATTTTTAGTCCATCACACATCTTTAGTAAATCCATACCCATTATCATGTCGTACTTGTTTATTACTTCATCCACATTTTAAACCAATGCATCCACCAAGCACCCGTTCGTTGAGTGGTGTATTTTAGCATAAAATTTTTCACATCGAACCATTCTGCCCATTGTCACAACATCTACTACACGAATCACTTTATAGTCAGACGGCAATAACTTGATTGCGAGCAACCAGTGTCCACAAGTGCAGTAGCTTTTTTTCTGTTTATTATCGAGTCGATAGTAGGTAGTATTGTTTTGGGTCGAGTTCTTATGAAAATACTTGATACAAACTTTTCCAATTTAAATTTTGCTGGTTTAGTTGACGTTTGTTGCAGACCTTCGCTGCATGTTTATGCAAGTATTCATTGCATAAAGAGGTACATTCACGTGCAAAGTGATTTAATGATTTGCAATTATAACATCGCTTTTCTTTCTTCGTATATTACAATCAACACAATCGTTAACGCTCAACGCATCTTCACCCAGAAAATGGCTCGCAGAACAGCTACATTATTAATTCCAATAACGAATTGGTCACGAAGTCAGCAGTCCACTCTGGAGGCAAGACCTTGCAATCTTGAGCTTCTTGACCTTGACCTTGCAATCTTGAGCAAGACCTTTGCAATCTTGAGCTTCTTGAACTTGCAAGACCTTGCAATCGTCAATCAACACAATCGTCAACGTCAACGCTCAACGCATCTTCACCCAGAAAATGGCTCGCAGAATAGCTACATCATTAATTCTAATAACGAATTGGTCACGAAGTCAGCAGTCCGCTCTGGAGGCAAGACCTTTGCAATCTTGAGCTTCTTGAATTGCAAGACCTTGCAATCTTGAGCTTCTTGAATCACTCGATTAAAAATACAGCTGGTAACTCTTGTCAACAATGGAATTAGTGTTTTTTAAAAAGGCGAATTTGGTCAAAATTTCTTAACAAATCCGCCAGTGACATGAAGCTAATTAATGTAACAATAATAATAATAATAATAATAATAATAATAATAATAATAATAATAATAATAATAATAATAAAAATAATAATAATAATAATAACAATAATAACAACAACAACAACGGCAAATATAATAATAACAATAACATTTATAATAGCAGTATATAGAGATAATAAAAGAAAGCTATTTTAAGAAAGTAATTAAAGATAATATTTAAACTAAATTAAGGTAACAGGAAATATAAAAACTCACCAACAATAATAGCAACAACAATTAGTGTAAATTTGATGGTTTTTCAGCGCGAAAACCATCAAATTTAAGTAATAGTCAGTTCAAATAACTCCATAACACTTTCAATGATTTCACTTTTTTTTTAAATTTATTCTTTTATTATTATTATTATTATTATTGGTAGTTCTTTAATTTTTATTCTTTAACCTGTTCCAGTGTCACTCTGTACACTTTTTTTTTAATTTTCAGGTGCACGCAATTTTTCCCCTTCTCTAGTGTCCTGATTGCATATATATTTAATAAAACATTGTTGGACCAAAATTTAAGCAATATGTAAAATTCCATTTTTTGTTAAAAATCAAAATTTTACACATTTTTCTAATGAAAATACCAAAATGTGTCAAAAATATGTATTTCAAGAATAATTAATTATATTTTTTTATTGGGACTTAAAAAGACCTTTTTTAATCTCCTTTCTATTGTCCCTAGCCACCAGAATTAAATAGCTGTTGCATATTATCAGATTTCCACCTACAAAGCCCTGAATAACGCGTATTTTTCTGCACAATCGTTAACACAAGTCAAATTTTTAACAAATTTTTTGAATAAATTTAATGACTTTGGGGGTTCTTTCATCTTCCACAGCTTTACTTTACCATCAGGGACTGCTGCAATTTTTAACAGAAGCCAACTTTCTGGACCTACCAGTTCCCAAAGCTTAGTGGACTCCGATATTATTGAAAGCTCAAGTTTTCCAATATTGAACTTCTCAGGAACATCATACTGAAGTAACCAATCAACATCTCTTTTTTCATTTCCTGCTCTACATCTTCATCAGCCAGAGATAACTGCGCCAACTACTCAGTCAAGTACCAGTTATGTCTTTGCATACTAGCAACCAATGCTGAACCAAGATTGGGATACTTTTCTTTAATGCAAAAAGAATTCTTGAATACGGCAAGATCATTTGAGAGTGAACTTGCAACCATGTACAAATTTAGGAATCAAGGTGCATACCAGAAAGATGTAAAAAAGGCTGCTGTCTCTATCATATTTTTCCACTTTGCTCATAATCATGATGATCTTATCGGTTATTCTCCGGATAAGAATGTATAAAGCATCAGCCATAAACCTAAAGAGTAAGATTTTGTCACCAATAATATTAATTATATATATTTTTATATTTTTTTAATTATACTTACGCATTTTTTTTTTCAATATACTTTACCAAGCTTCATGGCAGGTTCCAGGTTGATAAAATCGCAATCCAGGTACATTTCCTCCCAAATAGAAAACAAAAAGCTTTCATAGTTTTCTGTAATAATTCTTCACAAAAGCTTTTGAGTTCCAGAGCTTTCTCAGCAATTTTATAAAGGGGTGCCTAAACCTCCTCCAATCAAACCTAACTAGATCTATCACCTTGTCAACCTCTTTCTTGAAAAAGCACCAATTTTTCTGGAGTTTGACATACAGCCCTTTCCTTGAGCCCTTCGTTTTCTCTCCAGTCAAAGCCTCCCTAAAGTGTGAGATGTGTATTTCAATCATATGTCTTCTACAGAGAAACCATATAAATGAAATACTAAGAATAGAGCTAAGAATAATAACAGCTCCAGTATATTTTCCAGTATTGGATGCTGTAGTGTCACAACAAACAGCAAATATTTGATCTACAATGTCATAGTATCCTGGCAAATTCAAAATTGTTTTAGCCTGGTCATTACCTTTAGAACTTGGTGTCTGAACGACATCTAGCAGTATGTTATCTGTGTCATCCATATCAGGAATGTAACACTGACCGCTATTCTTTCTACAGAAACAGTTATTTTTAGATCTTCTTTAATTTGTTTTATCCTTTTTCCATCAAAAGGAACACATCGTCTTTTTCCCTTCAGAGTAGTTATAATTTCTTCCCTGAGCTTATCTCTTAATATCTCAATTTTTTTGAGGTATTAAGAGATAAGCACTTATACTTATCATTATCTTAGATTTAGTAGAATGACTGAATCTATTGAGTAATTTTTCATCATTTGAAGAATCTAGACTAAATTCCAATTCAGAATCAATTTCAGATGAAGAAAAAGAAGCTTCAATTTCATTGGATTTTACTACATTAATTGTGATACTACCTTTACCTCTTGCTTCCTCGATCCTCTTGAGCCGAATACTTGTAATATTTCATACAGTTCTTTTGTAATATACATGTTTCGCTCTCCTTTTTGATCTAGATAGAACTAAATATCCCCCTTTTTGACATTCTCAGAAAAAAAACAATCCTGATTTACTTTTTGCTCAAAATTTCCCAATGAAATTTCAAAGAGTGTTTTACTCTCCTCTAAAAACTCATTTTGTATCTTAGAGAAGTTGCCATTGCTAGAGTTCCAATTCAATAATTTAAGATGATGCAGATTTATGTACTTATTATGGAGCTTCAGTATTTTATCCCTGACACTGGATCAACTGATGATAAAATCTTGAAACCCTCCATTCTTCCAAGTGTCTAATAGAGCGCAGGCAACACATCTTTGTGCATAAATCTTGCAAAAACTATCTTTGCAGATCAGGTCCTTGTTCTTATGCTTTTGAGGACAAGCTACTTTCAAATTTGTATATTGAAATCTCAACAAACTAAAATAAAAATAGACATGTATTAACCATTATGGTTTTTTTGTTCTTACATACATTTTTGCCTTATTGTGTCTCATTTTAAACAGTTGACGGGGAAGGGGGGGGGGGGGAGATAATAGATTAATTATGTATTGCATAAAATAGATCATTTTAAATTTTAACATTTGTTTTATAATATATTGATATATAAAAAACAATTATTTGTTCTACCTGGGAGAATGTAGTTAATGCTAAAACAAATTTTTAAAAATTCTTGTGTTAATTAGTGTTAATAAAAAAATAAATTCTTAAAATCTTTAAAAATTACATTTAATTACAATTTTCAAGTAAATATATGTATATTGAAGGTATACATAACTATTACATAATTATATATGAAAAAACAAATTCATATTTAACTTCTAATTATTACTATTAAAAAATTATTATTGTTAAAATCAAAAGAATATACAAAATCCAGTTAAAACAAAACAGTACACAGAAAATACAAAGGTTATTCGACTAGTCATCATTATCGGCCCCCTCTGTGAATCAGGCTCCAATGAACCTTTTGTACCAAATAGACCAGATGGGCTGGTTCTTATATAGTCTAAAAACATTGGTTTTCTAAACTCTCTTAGGTCAGGAGCATTAAAAATGTAAAATTGTTTGATTTGCATCTAAAAAAAAGGTAAAAAAAAGCTCAAATTTTATCAAAAATTATAAAATTGAGGTTTTACATATAGCTGATATTAACCTCAGAAAAACTTTTTAGTTATGAAATAAAGGAATCGGAAAAACTTGCGTGCAAAAACACTTTTTTTTTTTGGGACACCCTACTGTACACTCGCTCACTCACTCGTAAGACGTTCGAGCAACGCGCCTTATTTAACGTGAACAAGTTTGTTTTGGCATACTAAGTGCATTCCGCACATAAAGCACATGAATTTCTTAACAAGATGGGTAAACCTCAAAGAAAAAAGCGCACACACAAAAATGTCAAAGATTTTAAAAAGAGTCACAGAACTCGCAACAGGACTAAAGATGTAGATCAAATTCACGACGAAATAGACCTAATTCCTTTCAAAAAAAACAACATTCTTCATCAACTAGTTGATCCAGATTTGCCTGGAGATGGACAGTTCTACTGTGTGATTTGCGCGTAGGCTCCTTTTCTATTGAATTCGTTTTGTCATGATTGCTAAATCTTTAATTTGCCAACCAAGTTTGTGTTCTATCACTAGTTAAATGTGCTTCTATAAGTTATATTATTTTCACAAACAAATGCTTTAAAACATCCCAGTATGCAAATAAAGGCTTTTAGATTTATGAAAAGTTACCCTGGAATTTAAAGGGAAATAGTACATATAAAAATTCTTTTAAAGCAGATATGCTTTATAAAAAATTGAGTTATAAGAGATTTAAAAAATAAAGTTTTTCAGATAAACTGAAGTCATAACTGTACTATATTAGTTTTGCATTAGTTTTGTAAACAAACATAGACGCATTAATGTGTAGTTACTTTAAAATATACTAACATTGTTCCAAAAAGAAAACAATTTATTATAAGCATTTTTTGGTTTAATTGTCTTGGTTTAATGAAATGCAAATTTTGTTTTATGGTTTGATTTGTTTACATGTCATGCTTTTAATAGTTTGCTTTTGTGTATAGTAATATTGTATTGTTTCTAAAATTATTATTTAATAAAAAATTGGGTAAAGGTGCTCCAAATATAAATCGTAAAGCACAGTTTATTTCCATTTATTTATTATTAAAATAAGTTTTATAGCATATTTATACGCAAATTAAATAAGTAAAAAAAAAAAGGTTTATGTGTGTTTAAAATTATCCAAGGTGTATTTAAAGCTATTTCATGTTGGGGTATTCTACTTAAACTCTTTTGGGGTAGCTTAGATTTCATAGTTTATTTTAAGGGGAAAAAAAAAAATTATTTACTTTCAGGAAAAAGTTTTAAAATATATAATATAGCCAAAGTAAAAATTGTTTTTAACATTTAACAACTTTTAACTTTTTAAAAAATGTTTAAAAGTATTTTAATTAAATTTTTCCAAATAAAAGTTTAATTTATAGCATCAAACTCTCTTAAAAGTGATTTTAGTTGTATTTCAGGATTTATATAAACAGGATATTTCAGATATTGGACTGCTTATTTAAAAAAATCCCTTGTTATGATGTCCATCTTGCAAATTTTATTCATAAAATATGTAACTCCCCACTTAAATATAAACATATAAAGTCCCCAGTCAAAATCAAACCCTGGTCAGTAATAATTTTTATTTATTTTGATTAATATTAAAGATTTATTAGATTGTAAACTGTAAATGTGTATGTAAATTTTATAAAAAAATTTTCTTTACTTTATAGAAGATACTTTATGGATGGAAAAAATTTATCAGAGCATAAAAAGACAAAGAACCATAAAAAACGGTAAGGTGTTCCAATATTTATCTCTATATAAAACATTGTTATTATTTTTCTAACTTCAAAGATGATTAGTAAAAAAGTGTAATTTAGTGATTATTTAAATACAGAGATATTTTCAAAATTAGAATCAGTTAATTGCTAGCTTGGTAAACTTAAAATATTTTTCAGGTTCTTTAAAATAAGTTGTTATCATTAAAATGTAAAAAATGATATTAGGTATAATGAATTGTGTTGAATATTTTTTTTATGCATTGGCTGTGAAATCTCCTAAATTTGAACAACTGAACCATATTACCTGGTTCCTGGTCAAATAATTTAAACAAATAGCGTTCCAATTTGGAGTGCCATAAGTTTGAACACCTATGTCATTTTACAGAAATTTCAATTCCAAAAGTATCAAAACAGTTTTGGGAACAAATTGCTGAAATGAAACACAAGATGTGTGTGTCAAATGTTAAATGAAACGCATAATGAGTTTTAATAGAAGAAGATTATAGCTAAGAGTGCACCAATGTCTACTTTTGAATGACGATTGATACAGGCTGATGCATCAGCTTTGGTCCTAAATTTATGCTCTTTTCTTTTTTTAGTAATAAGTAAATTAAGATTTTTTCAAATATAATGTTAACATTCAATTTTAATGCTTGCTTATTTACTAAACTTTGCTTAATGCTTAGTTGCTTTGCTCATTGTTGATTTATTTTATATATATATATGATGCCGGATTTAAACTCTTTGAGGCCCTAGGCCGAATCACCTTTTGGGGCCATTTTTCAAAAAAGTGTAGAAGTTTCTTGTCAATTTTTCATTTTATTACATAAAAAACAAATTGCATAAGTATACTGACAGTATAATACTGTACACATATGTAAGTAGATTTTATAAATGCAAAGCGAACTAGACTAAAAAAGAACTAGAAAATAAGTAAAATTTTAGCATAAGAGTTAATTTTAACAATTTGTTAAAAAAAAACTTCTTTTAGTAGAACAATTTAATAAAACATAAAAAGATTCTCAAAACTGTCTCAAGATTCCGAAATGCAATTTCTAAGTTTTTTCTTTTATCAGCTTATAAATGAATGAGTCATAGCTGTTTCTTGATATTTAGTTATGATAAAGTTATGAAATTGCAAAATTTCATCAAACAAAGACATATCGATATCTTCATGATTCAACAATTTCTTCATCATTTTTCTTCAGCTTCATATTATCGATGTTCACATTAATCAAAAATCCAAAATTTGTGTTAGGTTCTTGATATACAATCATCCTTTTATTTATTTGAGTGAATAGAATTGACGAATTTGATAAAAGCATCTTTCTGAAACTTTTCTTATGGACTAATTATAACACATTTTTTATGGTTTGAATTAAAAAAGATTTTTTTTTTTTTTGCTCGATGTTTTCTATGTGAATATTATGTATCAGAAAGTAAAATTTTTGCTTCAGCTTCAAAATAGTCATAGTTGTCTTTCGAATTCTGAATGTAATCTGCCAGCAAAAAAAGAAGTAAATAACATGTATCTGATGTTTTTTTTTAATCTTGTTTTGACACTGAGTTTATTCTTTTTAGAATTGCATCCCAGAAAACTGTTTGTACTGCAAATTCAAATTCTTCCAGTTATGATACAATATTCTGTTCAGTTTTGATACAATATTCTGTTCAGTTTTGATACAATATTCTGTTCAGTTTTGATACAATATTCTGTTCAGTTTTGATACAATATTCTGTTCAGTTTTGATACAATATTCTGTTCAGTTTTGATACAATATTCTGTTCAGTTTTGATACAATATTCTGTTCAGTTTTGATACAATATTCTGTTCAGTTTTGATACAATATTCTGTTCAGTTTTGATACAATATTCTGTTCAGCTTTGATACAATATTCTGTTCAGTTTTGATACAATATTCTGTTCAGTTTTGATACAATATTCTGTTCAGTTTTGATACAATATTCTGTTCAGCTTTGATACAATATTCTGTTCAGTTTTGATACAATATTCTGTTCAGCTTTGATACAATATTCTGTTCAGTTTTGATACAATATTCTGTTCAGTTTTGATACAATATTCTGTTCAGTTTTGATACAATATTCTGTTCAGTTTTGATACAATATTCTGTTCAGTTTTGATACAATATTCTGTTCAGTTTTGATACAATATTCTGTTCAGTTTTGATACAATATTCTGTTCAGTTTTGATACAATATTCTGTTTAGTTTTGATACAATATTCTGTTCAGTTTTGATACAATATTCTGTTCAGTTTTGATACAATATTCTGTTCAGTTTTGATACAATATTCTGTTCAGTTTTGATACAATATTCTGTTCAGTTTTGATGCAATATTCTGTTCAGTTTGCAATATTCTGTTCAGTTTTGATGCAATATTCTGTTCAGTTATGGTACAATATTCTGTGCTACAGCTCTAGCAATTCAAAATTTTGATCCAAAATATATGTGAAGGAACTCAAAATACTTTCAAAACAGAGCTTGATTTCTTTCACTGAATCTTGGCAATCAAAACTGTTTAATTATTGAACAATGCCAAAATAATTTATAGTTTCTAAGCAAACATCAGCTCCAGAAGATCCAACCAAGTTTAAAGAATCTCCAGTGCAAAGAAAATATTTTGCAAGATTATTTTTTTCTAAATTTTTTACTTGTATTCTTTTACATTTTCTTAACATATTAGAAGCGTTATTGTATGACTTAAATCTGCAGTCTAAAAAGTTGATTCAAATTTCATTCAAGAAGTTCACTGTAGCTTTGGCTACAGTTTGATCCAGTATGACTTTTAATTTGAATAAACTATAAATATTGTTTAATTGGTTTGTGAGATTTTTATGCATGTATCTTTGAACAACGCAAAGTAAGATTGTGATGAGATAAATCTACTGAAATTCCAAAATATTTTGATACTTTTATATTATTCACGATAGTTTTCAGAACATTTTTTGCCATTAAAGAAACTAATTCATCACAAACTGTCTTAGACAAATATTAATTATGAAGTTTTTCCTGAACCAATTTGACTGTAACATGTAATGTGTTCTGATAGGATTGGATCAAATTTTGCAATCAGTTCAATAAGTCCAAGGAAATTTCCATTACTTTGTTCTCCAAACATTTCATTGGAACCTCTAAGTGTTAGATTTTTATCAACCAAAGTACAAATTACAGCACTTCAAAAAATCAATATTACTTTTCCTTTTTTTATTCTTCAAATTTGTTATCCAATGTGTTGTGACTTCTTCTAATTAAATAAGCCATTAAGGCTTCTCTGTGTTCTGTAGAATTTTTGTGGCTTTTTAACAGTGAAACAGCATTTTTCCAGTCTCTCAAACCAGTTGTAGCAAGAAATCTTGCATACAAAGCAGTAAAGATTTCCTTTTCCTGGCAATTAAATCAACCATTCATGAACATATTTTTCACAATTTGCTCTCTGGCCTTTGAAAAAAGATTTTGAACAACAACAAAAAAAGTGTGATCCTTGTAAAACTGTTTTGATTCATGGAAATCATTATCAAAGTTCTTAAGAGTTTTTGGTCCTTTTGAAGTCCAAAACAAAATATTGTCTTCAGAAAGATGTCTCCATAACCCAGTGTCATCTTTTCTGTTGATGCTTAAGTTTCAGCGATCAGTGATTAATTCAGGAGAATGTGTGACTTCTTACAATTGATGATCATTTTCTGAAACTAATTGTTCTGTCTCAATAGTTTCAGAAAATGATCATCAATTGTAAGAAGTCACACGTTCTCCTGAATTAATCACTGATTGCTGAAACTTAAGCATCAACAGAAAAGATGACATTGGCTCAAGCAGTTTATAGATTCTGTACTTCCGACTTTCACCAAAAAACCTGTTTTCGACCATGCATATAAAATTTAGTTTTCACAACTTGACCACGACTTGTTTAGATGTTTGAGAACATTCAAGTTTATGTATGTTTCCATTTATGTCTGCATAACAATTAGTTTTTAAAATACACGCTAAAAAAATTAACTTCATAAATTTATTCTTTACTTAACAAATTTAAATATTTTTCACTTAGGTTTTGGGGCCCAAAAAATAGCAGGGCCTAGGCCATGGCTTAGTCGGCATATAGGTAAATCCAGGACATATATATATATATATATATATATATATATATATATATATATATATATATATATATATATATATATATATATATATATATATATATATATATATATATTTAAATTTCTAACTTTATTATAGGAATTAAACTTCGAAATAAAATTAAACAAGAAAAATATGAACCATGAGCCAAGCAACTAAATGTTTTATAGACAGTTTTGATATAGATGAAAAAAAACATTCAAAGCAATTTGTAAATTTTGCCAAATAAAGTATCAAAAAACAGAACATCTGGCAGAAAATTTTTTTGTACAGTTTAAATTACATTTACATATCTTGATTTTTAACTTATCTCTTTTGTATAGTTTGGATCCGTAAGTCATATAATTATGTTCCAAAATTATAAAAAAATACTAAATGCAGGGAACTCCTGATAAAAAGCAGTTTGAAAAATATTTAAAGGTTTAGTGGTTACAGATGTGTTTATATAATAACTTAGGCTTATACTTGCTAATGGAGTAATTATATTTTTGCATACAATATAGAAACATAAAAATCTAAAATCTGATTTTTTGGCTATTGGCATTGGCCGATGGTTACCAAGACCAATGAGCTTCATCGTTTCCTGTAGAAGCCCCTGTCGACATCAGCTAAAAGGTCTATGCCAACAGGGGCTATTACAGGAAAATAATTTGGGCAGCAGTACCTTCCTTGTCAGCCTTTGCATAACAAAATTTGCTGTATGATATTTGCTGTAAAAAAAAAAAAAGGTCCTCAATTTCTGAATTTGGGCGGTGCCCAAATACAGTTGACACTGTCGAAAATGGTCTAGAATAGCCCCTGGCGGATGCATTGGTACACCCCTAATTATAGCTCACTTAAACAACGCTATTGGTAAAATTTCTAGAAAAGAGATATAGATGCTACTTTACCATGCTGTAACAGAAGCTCAAGCTTGGCTGTTAAAGCAGGTCATATTTAAATTTAATGTGTTTAACTACTTAGTTTAAATACATTAAACTTTGGGAGAATTTAAAAAAAAAAATTGATGAGAGCTCAATTGACATTAAATGTTGACATTCATTAGCATAAGAATATGATAATTAACATAATTTTGAAAATAATTAAAATAAATTTTTGTTTAGGTTCAAATTTATCAGCCAAATTTTATCACAAGCTTTTGTTATGTTAAGATAATCATTGCCTTAGTTTATCCATCACATGATAGAATCTCTCTGTTATTACAGTTAACCAATCAGCAGTATAGCATAGTTATCATAAATTGTCATTTTCAAACACTTGTTAAATGTAGATACATTTTGTTTATTAATTAAATACTAAACTACATTGTTAACAATAAGAAGACTGGGCAATAGTTAGAGGAGTCAGTGTGATTGCACAAAGTAAGCCGCTTGTGATATGAATCTCCAAAAATCAATTAACTTGTTTCTCTAGGTTGACTGGAAGAGTGTGATTATCAGGCTCAATGTCTTTGCAAAGTATTCTTTTCTTTGGAAGAGGTAGCAAGATCAGACTTATGAGAGATGAAATCTTTGTTAATAACACTAAAGATTTTTACAAAAGTGTGCAGAGCTTCTGAGATAAAATATGAGATTTAGTTATAGAAAATTACTTTTGTTAGTTTTATAATAGTATGAAGAGCTTCTGAGATAAAAATGAAATTTAGTAATAGAAAAATTACTTTTGTTAGTTTTATAATTAAAAATCCTTGATCCCTCACCTCACAAATTTAGTGAGGTGAGTACAGTAAAAAATATAAAACTTTAGCATTGATTTACAATAATAAAAAGACCCAGAAGAGTCCTTTTGGTGAAAATAATTACATTGGGAAATATTGGTTTCATAAGAAGAAGAAACCTAACCAAATCTTTAGGTTGCCTTCATAAGAAGGAGAAACCATGAGGTATAGTGAGGCTTAACATTAAATCTACAAGAATCATTCAAAAATTACCTGAATCCTGGAGATAAAGTAGCAGGCACAATATACAAAAAGATAATAGACATCATCCCAATACTCATTACAAAAGTTTTTGACGATCCTTGATTTTTGTTATTTGATTTTTGTATTATATAAATATTTGTAGACTTATGTTGTTGTAACCTCTGCTATTTTAAAACAGTATTTTTAAAAAGATTAAATTCCTCACAAAGTTACTAATTTTAATAGGTAATGTACTCCTAATTCTTTTTGACAATTCATTCATATTCAAAAAATGTTTACTGGAGTGTTCTTTTGACATAAATAGTATATTATAAGAACTTGAGCGTTCCGTTTGACACGAATAATATATTATAAGTACTGGGGTATTCCATCTGATTTTAATAGTAACATTTTATTTTAAAAAAAAAAAAGAAATTTGTTGCATCATTAGAAATAATCAAAAAAGTGAAATTAAAATTAAAGTTTTTTTTAGTACATCGATTTTTAATATCAACTTTTTAAAAAATGCTCACATGGAATTTTTTTTTACTTTTTCCTAATTTTAATGAATTATAAAAATTGCGACCCAAATTGATCTACAATTTTATTTTTAGAAATGTTAATCATTTTTAGATTAAGGGTTATGAAAGAAAAGCCATATTCAGTAGCCGAATCACAAATGGCTGCTGGAATGGGATCATATACTATTAATCCAAACATAAAACCTATTGGTGAAAAAACATTGTACAACGAATTTGCTCTCGATGCTCCAACATCACAAGTAGAAGATTTGCATATTGATTGATCATTGTGTCAAAGATTATCAATTGTGATATTATTAAATATGGTAAAATAGTTTTTGTATTAAAAAATACAAAGTCTAATTTTTTATTTGATGTATTTTAAATACAAATTTGAAATATAATTTTTTTAATTCTTCGATTCATTGGAAGTTATCGTTGTTAAGTACCTAGAAAACGATTTATTCAAAGCTGTTTTAAATTCCAATGATTGAATTATCTTTTTTGAAAACCACAAAAAATCCTCGCATTCCTTTTTGTTGTTTTTTTTAATTTTATTTAGGTGCCCTAAAAACTCTTTACGGGCTTTTCACAGAGCACCGCGGATACGCATTTAATTTTTTTTTATTTATTTTTTGTTTGTTTGTTTACATTTGACGTAATATACATAAATTACATTTTTCAAATACAAACAAAGCTTCTAAAAGAAGATCACAATGATCTTATCGTCTGAAGCCTTTTACAAAAGAAAGTACGTAACATATTATAAAAACGCCTTTTTACAATAAAAGTACGTAAAAAATCATATAAAAACAATAAATCGTATTTACATAAATGAAAATAAATTGTAAACAAGTATAAAACAAAACTTGAATAAACATGACAATAAAGTTTATTATTATTTTTTTTTTATCACAAGATAAATTGAAAATATTCTAAGATATTTTCAATAAAAAGAATGTGGTCTTTTAATTTATTTTTAAAAACAGGATAAGTTAGGGGTAAGTCGAAGTTAGGCAAAATAATTTTGTTCCAGAGATGAGCTGCACGATAAGTGATACAAAATTGATTGAATTTTGTTTGACAGAATGGTTCATTTAAATAGTTATTATTTCTCATGTTAAACTTGCTTAATGGTTTCAAAATAAAAAAATCTTTAAAAATTAAAGGAGATAAATCATGCTTCCACATATAGACAAAACATAAATTTTTATATACGTTTAGTTTATATATATCTAGGATTTTCATTTGATTAAAAAATATTGAGGAATGTGCGAACCGATCCGCAGAATTAATTAAATGGAACGCATGCTTCTGACGGCGATAGAGACATTGTAGCTTGCTTTGATCAGTGCTACCCCAGGTAAAAACCATATAACTTATATAACTGTGGATAAAAGAGTAATAAAGTTTAGTTAAATTATTTTTATCTAAATGAGTACGCGTCTTATATAAAATTCCGATACTTTTTAAAACTTTCGAGCAAACATAGTTAATATGATGTTTCCATGTGATGTTCTCGTCAATGAAAACCCCTAGGTATTCAGTTATAGAACCTGTTTTAATTTCAATATCGTCAATAAGAATTTTTGGTAGATTTGAAGGTAGAAAACGTTTTTTGGAGAGCGGGTGGAAAAAAAACCATTTTATTTTGGTTATATTTAATGTCAATTAGTTACTTTTAAACCATTTAGATATGTTTTGAAGTTCTTTGTTCATCATGAAGAAAAGTAGATAGATGTCACTGTTAGAGAGAAATAAATTTGTGTCATCAGCAAACATAATACTTAGAAGATTTGATGCTTTATGCAAGTCGTTGATATATACTAGAAACAAAAGAGGGCCTAAGATGGAACTTTGCGGAACACCACAGGAAACATTTAAAAACTGTTTATCTTTAAGTTCATTACAAGAAACAAATTGTTTTCTGTTCGATAAAGAACTTTAAAACCATTTAATTACTCTTTCATTTATTCCGTAATAACTAAGTTTATAAAGCAAGATATCATGATCGACAGTATCAAATGCTTTTGAAAGATCGATAAAATTTCCTAATGTAAATTGAGATTTTTCAAAAGAATTGGAAATTTCACGCACCAACTGAATAATTGCATGCTCAGTTGAGTTATTCTTTTTAAAGCCAAACTGATTGTTGTATAATAAATTATTTAAACTATGATTCTTTCTAGCATTTTTGAAAATATAGATAAGATAGAAATAGGCCGGTAATTACTTATATCAGATTTGTCACCACCTTTGAAAAGTGGAATGACTTTAGCATTTTTCAATTGATCAGGAAAGACTCCTTGTTCTATTGATGATTTAAAGACTTTAAAAAGAATATATTTTATTTGTTCAAAGCAATCTAAAATTATGTTACCATTGATTTCATCCGGTCCAACTGCTTTATTTTTTTTTTAGTGTTTTGAAGGTTTTTTCAAACTCATCAAATAATAACTCTTTAGATAACTCATCCGAGTAAATGCAATTATCCATCGGTACTAAGAAATCTTTAAATAAGGCTTTTGTATTAGGAATTAATTTAGATAGTTTAGGGCCAATTTCAACAAAAAATTTATTGAATTCATCAGCTATTGTTTCAGAATTAATTATATTGTTATTATCCACTTTGATCATGTGTGGCAGGGAACCTGAGCATGATTTTGATTTACCGGTAATTTCTTTTATTATTTCCCAAGAGCGTTTACAATTTTTGCTTAATTGAGAATTTTAGAATAGTATTGTTTTTTTAAGTTTTTTCAAATTTTTTCAAAAAGATTTTTGTAATCTTTGTACATTTTCTCATTGGCGAGTGATTTGTTTTTTAGATATTATATGTATAATTTCTGCTTAACTTTAGAAGATTTTTTTAAACCTTTGGTAACCCAGGGATAATTAATGTTTTTTTGATTTATTGTTTTTTCATATAAAGGAAAATTAGCATCATAAACAGAGTAAAATGTATTAAAGAAATTATCGTAAATGTTGTTTGCATTATCAGTAAAGTCGATGTTCTTCCGATGGAGCAATAATATTTGTGTTTTAAATTGCTCAACGTTTTTTTGATTATAGCTACGTAATTTAACTTTTATGTTTGTTTTAGTCATTATTTTAGTTGAAGTTAATGGTAAACAAGATAGGGAAATGATCAGATATGTCTGTTTTTAAGATACCTTTATTTATGTCACTGTTAAAAATATCAGTTGTTAGAATGTTATCAATTAGAGTAGCTAATTTTGGAGTTACTCTGGTAGGGCGATTTATTAAAGGAATGGCTCCCATTTCAAAAATAAAATCATAAACATTTTTAACTTTAATGTCCGTAGAGTAGTGGAAGCAATTCATATTAAAATCCCCTACAATAAAATTCTTTTTTTTTTCAAAGAAGCTTTTTTTGAAAAGGTTTTCCTCAAAAAACATATTCATGTTCTCAGCCACACCGTTCGGAGGCCTATAGCAACGTCTCAGTAAAATGTTTTTCGATTGATTGTTAAGATTTCAATGGTTAAAATTTCTTTTTCGCCGTCAGAGATACTTAAATCATTCCTAACATAACGTGCAATACTTTTCTTTACATAAATAAGAACTCCTCCACCGCGTTTTTTGATAAGTCTCTCTTGAGAAATTAACTCAAAGGAAGATTAAAATTTGAAGAGTATTCAAGGCCTGTCGACTCTTTCGTTTTTACATACTTAAGAGTGTAATCGTATGCGCAAAGCATTCTGGGATGTCCTGGTAGTATAGAAATAAATTCACAACAACAAACTTAGCTGAAACTCGGCAAAGTTTTCTGTTTTATATTGCGTTATTCTTTAATAAATAATACTCTTCGTTGTTCAGAAATGCCTTCATACTGTGCTGCAACCAACTGCGCAAATACAAGTGGAATTGCTAATGAAAATTATCAAGTTATTTCAATGATTAACTCACTACTCAAATATAAAAATTGTATTTTGTTCTTATTTCTACTGGTGCAAGATGAGATCTTGATGGAAAACTTATTGAAGTTCTAAATAATGATTATTGTTTGTGCATCAATCATTTTGAAAGTTCAGTTTTTATTTAACAAACACTGAGGGAAAATGTCTTCTCCATAATGTCATTTCTACAGTATTTATGTTCTAAATATGGTCTCATGGCATCACATTCTGACGTTGTATAAAATAGACGAAGACGTAAATGCATTTCTATCCATCATGCACCAAAATTTTTGGAGCATTTTTTGTATTAATTATTACTGTAGGTACGTGTGTAAAAATTTCAAATTGTTTAAATATTAGATTGTTATATATTGTTGGAAAGAATTTTAAAAAAATTTTTCCAAAACTGAAAATTTTATCAAAATCGGATAATTCTACAAAAAGTTATGAGCATTATAGTGACGAAATTTGATTACAAGGATTCCTTAACAAAAATGTGACCAATTTATAATGGTTTTGTAACTTAAACCGCTTAACATTGTCAAATCTTATCTAAATGCATATAACTTGGTATCAAAAGATAGGTGTAACATTGGGCTACAAGCTTCTTTTGCTTTTGACACCTGTGCGCATTCAGGGGGCTAGAGGGGGGACAGAAGAAACATCTTTGCCATTAAAAAATTTACATTTCTTCCAAAAAAGGTTGTTTTTTTATATATAAAACTAGTAATTTATCAGTTTAAGTTGTTATTTTTTTATTCCAGTTTGCAAGCAAATATTATAAATGTATTTTATGAAGGAGGTGGATGTGGTGGTAATGGTACACACCCTAGTATCGAAACATTCATTCTAATAAATATTTTAATCATTATTAAAATAAATTAAAAAAGTAAATAATAAACTAATATATAAAATAATACATAATAAAAATTATATTTTATTAAATTATATATTAGTGACATAAATAAATTATAGGATGTGGGGCGTCCCCCCCCCCATCTACCACAAAAAAAAAGTTTAAAAACAAAAACTAGCAGTATAAAAAGTGGTAGAATACGCTCCTTCCAAATCTTAAAACTTTAAATTTAATGCTGCTTTTAAATGCTCTAAATGCTAAAAAATGTATACATATGTATAATAAATAAGAAACTTACATAATGCGATTGTTTATGTGAACTAATAATAACGCTAAATTTAAAAAACGACAATAACATAAAAAATTATGTTTTAATTTATAACTTATTTTTTGATGTTTAGTAAATGATTAAAAACAGTTCGGATCACCTTTAAGCAAGAAAACTAAGTTATATATATAATATAGAGAAGAAAAATATGTTAAATTAAGGCTTCTGATACTTTGTTAGATATTTTTTGCTACAAGGGCGGTTAAGATAAATGGTTAATTTATCTTAACCGCCCTTGTAGCGTAGTTTGTTAAGATGTATAACAATGTTTGCTGCAATACAATCCCTGCCAAACAGTTCCCTTTTTAATGTTTCCAATGCTTTAAGTGAAGACTAGTAGTAAGAGATTACCAATTCAGAGGGATTTTTTATTTTCAACCAAATTTTCAACCATAAATTAATATTAATATTGAGGTTAACATTGAACCATGTTGTGTATAATTTATTTAGATAAGAAATAATTTTTTTATTTTAAAAAAATCAATTTTTTTAAAATAAGTGTTAAATTTTATTTCTTGTTATGAAATATTACGAAAAATTCTTAAAATGACGTCACGTGATTTTCTTGCTTCTTATTTATACCCTAATTCATGTAAATATTTAATTACTTCAAGGTGACCATTTTCTGCAGCGTAATTAATTGCATCTTTTGTTCCTTTATACCCTAATTCATGTAAATATTTTATTACTTCAAGGTGACCATTTCGAGCAGCTTTATCTATTGCATCTTTTGTTCCTTTATACCCTAATTCATGTAAATATTTTAATATTTCAAGATGACCATTTTTAGCAACATCATCAATTGTCCAATCGTAACATTCATACCCTAATTCATGTAAATATTTTAATATTTCAAAGTGGTTATTTATAGCAGCATAACTAATTGCTAATTTATCAACTTTATATCCAATTTCAAGTAAATATTTTACTACTTCAAAGTGACCGTTTATAGCAGCAGAACTAATTGCACATTTTTCATATTTATACTTAAATTTATATAATTGTTGCTCTAATTCAAAGTCATAATTTTCAGTAGCATAATTAATTGCTAATTCTTCATAATAATACTTTAATTTATGCAAATATTTTACTTGTTCAAGGTTACCATTTTCTATAGCGCGAATAATTGCTTTTAATATTTTAATAACATTATTTTTTTTTTTTTTTTTTTTTTTTTCTTCGTCTTCCATTATTTTATATACACAAGAAAATTATTTAATTCATTTTCAATTTTTTTATTTTTTAATACGCATGCGTAGTAGTGAAGCATTGGTTAGCTTTATCACTACTAGAATTTATAGTAACTACATGTATCAAAATTATAAAATATATCCTTTTTTAACAGCTAAATTATTTGCCCATTCTGCACCTTTATACCCTAATTCATGTAAATATTTAATTACTTCAAGATTTACACTTTCAATTACTGCACAATTAAAAGCATATTCCGTACCTTTATACCCCAATTCATGAAAATATTTAATTACTTCAAGATTTCCGCTTTCAACAGCAGAATTAAATGTATCTTCTGCACCTTTATATCCTAATTCATGTAAATATTTAATTACTTCAAGATTTCCGCTTTTAACAACACAATCAAATTCATATTTTGAAGCTTTATACCCTAATTCATGTAAATATTTTAACATTTCAAGGTTGCCATTTTTAGCAGCTTTTTCAAAAGCACAATTAAAAGCATATTCCGTACCTTTATACCCCAATTCATGAAAATATTTAATTACTTCAAGATTTCCGCTTTCAATAGCAGAATCAAATGTATCTTCTGTACCTTTATACCCTAATTCATACAAGTATTTAATTACTTCAAGATTTCCACTTTCAACAACACAATTAAATTCATATTTTGAAGCTTTATACCCTAATTCATGTAAATATTTTAACATTTCAAGATTTCCATTTTCTGCAGCTTTTTCAAAAGCACAATTAAATTCATATTTTGAAGCTTTATACCCTAATTCATGTAAATATTTTAATATTTCAAGATATCCATTTTTAGCAGCATTTTCAAAAGCTATATTAAAATAATAATCTGAACATTTATATCCTAATTCACATAAATATTTTAATATTTCAAGATATCCATTTTTAGCAGCATTTTCAAAAGCTATATTAAAATAATAATCTGAACATTTATACCCTAATTCATGTAAATGTTTAATAATTTCAAGATTTCCATTTTCTACAGCTTTAATAAAAGCATCATTTGTACTTTTATACCCTAATTCATGTACATATTTTAATATTTCTTCATCATCTTCATCATCTTCATCATCTTCATCATCTTCATCATCTTCATCATCTTCATCTTCATCATCTTCATCATCTTCATCTTCATCATCTTCATCTTCATCATCTTCATCTTCATCATCTTCATTAACATATTCAGTAGTTTCTGTAATTTCAGTAACTTCAGTAGTAGTAACTGTAGTAACTTCAGAATCTTCAGTCATTTCAATATCATGAATATTAATAATATTTAATTTTTCTTCTATTAATCTTAATCTTTCATCTATTGATCTTAAAAATGAATTTTGCATTTCGTTTTCCATTCTTTTTATATAAAAAAGAAACCCAGTAAGCACAAGACGCATTTTAGACACTTATAGACGTCTAAAACTAGTCTAGGTAAAGACGCACTTTTATAGACGTTTTGAAGACATTTTCTAGACGTCTTTAATAAATGCGCTTTTAAAATGACGTTTAAAATGCGTCTTTTTAAAGTTTAAAAAGACGTTTAAAAGACGCATAATAAATAGTCTAAAAGACGCATTAAAAGACGTCTAGATCAAGGCTAAAAGACGTCTTTTCTGTGACCTGTTTATAAATATGTCATTATGACTTCTTTTTGACGGCTTTGTCATTACGCGTTAAGAAGATGTCGTATATTCAAAGTAAAAACATAGTTTTTATTATTTTCAATAATTTGTTCAAGTTTTAAGTGTAAATTACTTTAAATTAAATTACTTTTTTACACAATTGCTAAAATTGTTGTCACAGGAATCACTAAAATAATTGCTATAATATTAATATTTTTTTTTTTTATTAATAATTATTTTGCTTTTTTAATAGATAGTTGACTGATCATGATAATAAGTGAAAATGGCAAGAATAATATATAAGTTAAATATCAGTATTTTTAGTTTTTATACACCCACAAGCCATATAATAAGTCAAGTATGCGGTCAAAAATTAGCTATCAATATTTATGTTAAATTTTATTTAAAACTAAAAATATGTTATAAATGTTTTAAACACTGTTTTGATATATATACTTGTTATTGTTTTTTATTATTTTCATCTTTAATGCATCAACCGTTGGTGGTGATTACAGCAATATTATTTTGACTGCTGGTTCATATGTATATTTGGTATAAACGAAATTAAAACAATTTATGATGTTATAAATACAATGAATATATACCACATTCTACGCAAAAGTGTTACGTCATGTACTTAAATTTAACTTGAAAAAAACGTCTAAAATACGTCTAAAACGCGTTTTTATAAAGACGTCTTCATTTAGACGTCTTTTAGCCTTATGATCTAGACGTCTACAAGTGCGCCTTTTAGACCTCCTTAAAGACATCTTTAAAACGTCTTTTAAACGTCTTTGTGCTTACTGGGAAATTATTTAAATCATTTTCAATTTTTTTTGATTTAAAATATTTTTACAAATAATAAAAATAAAAAATGAATGATGATGAGATTAATGAAATATCTGAATTTCAAAAAGAATTTAAACTTTTTGAAGAATTATTAAAATTTGAATTTGAAGAATCAGATTCTGAAGATGACACTTATTATACATCTGATGAAGCTACTTATTTTACATCTGATGATGAAGATGAAGTTAAAGAAAAACCTATAGTTCCAATTCCTTTAAAAACAGTTCAAATCATGGAACTGCATAAAGATAAGCTGAAATGGATTAATTATGTTCCAACTTATAATGTTATTAATGATGATTATCCTGCTATAGATAATACTTCTTTTAAAAAACATTACAAAAAAAGAAAATTTAGTTTTGAAAAACCATTTAATGTAGATATTAATTTTACTGAAGACGGAAAACCTTCAACAATTCATTTTGTAGAGAAACTACCCATTTTTTGTAAAAATATTTTAAATGATAATTTCTGCCCTTTTGGAAGAAAATGTAAATACAATCATGATATTCCTTATTGTAATACTGTAAAGGAAAGACTCATATGCACTAAATCTTCATGTCAATATAGACATTTATCTCTATGTTCTGAATACCCTAAATGTAAGAATAAAAAGTGTAGATTGTTTCATCCTAAAAAGTCAGAATTATTAAAATTAAGAAAAGCTAAAACTAAATTATGTAAATATATTCTTGATAAAAAAGAATGTAAAAATATAAATTGCAAATATGCTCATTATTTAAAAGAAATTGAAGAAAATGTAGAAATTTGTCATTATACTCCATGTAAATTAGTAGAGAGTAAATTAAAGAAAAATAAAAAAGGAGAAAAAACATTAATATATAAAAATAATGATAATAAAAAGTGTAATTTTTTACATCAAGGTGAAAGCATTTTAAATTATATTGCAAGAACTTTAAAAACAAAATAGATATGAGGATTACAGAGTGATTTAAAAAAAATCTTTTCATTTATAAAATGTATAATAGTAAAATGTTTTTATATTATGAAAAGCATGAAAAATATAGAATAAATTTTTATATTAATTCAGATTTAGAACATAGAGCAGTAAATAATAGACATATTAAAGTATTCGCACAAGAAGATTTTACAGTAAAATCAAATTCATATAATAACATTTCTTTAATGTGTGGTGTTGAAATAGATAAAGGACATATAGTGATTTCAATTGCAGAAAATTATAAACCAGAACTAAATTTACTAAATTCTATTGTAACAGAGTCTACTGACGATATTAAAATAACTGTATATAATAACGATAAAAAAGATATAAACATTAAAAAAGGAGATTTGTTATGTTGTATATCAACTTATAATGGTGTTTTAAATGCAAATTATATATCACATAGAGATGCTTTAGAACATGTTAAAGAAGAACAAATTAGACAACAAAATGACTCAGGAACTAAACAGAAAAGTGATAAAGAATCTGTAAAATCTTTATTATCAAGTATAGAAGAAGTAATTAAAGATAAATCTGATGAAGATATATTTAATTTTGGTAAAAAGTGATTTAGCAAAGCATTGATAACAAAAGTGATTTAAAACAAATTTTTCTTTATAGAAAAAAGAAATGCTATGTAATAATGGATATAATAATGAATATAATAATGAATGTAAGCAGCTTTATCCAGATCTAAACCAGTTTTCAGAAAATCCATCTGCACCACCGCAATCTATAGATCATAACTTTAGATTACAAAAGATTAGTGAAATTCAAGATAAAATAGAATGTGAAAGGAAAAGAAGAGAGATTTTAAGTAAAAAATATCACAGAGCTGTAAGAATCATTTCAGCAGTTGATAATACATTACTTGCAACTACTATGACATTAGGAGCTGTTGGTATTGGTTTTTTAACAACAATAGTTGGTACACCAGTAGCTATTGCATGTGAAGGTGCTGCATTAGGTATGGGTGTATTATCATTAATAGGATCACAAGCTATTAAAAAATTAACAATAAAAGCAGAAAAGCATGAAAAGATTAAAGTACTAGCTGATGCAAAACTAAATACAATAAGTAGTCTTATTTCTAAAGCTACATCAGATCAATATATTGATGATGTAGAATTTAATATGATACTTTCAGAACTTGAAAAGTTTCAAACTATGACTGAACAAATTAGAACAAAATCTAAGAATGATATAGATGAACAGACTAAAGAGTCACTCATTAATCAAGGTAAAGAGAAAGCAATGAAAGAAACTATGGAATTGCTAAATATGAGATTTAACAAAAATCAGAATATAGGAGTGATGAATAATACTCTTAAGAATTAAATTAAAAAACATATATTATGTATTATTTGAACATATATTATGTATTAAAAACATAATATATGTTGATTTAAATCCCTTTAGGGATCTAGGGATCACATTGTGATTTAAAAAAATTATTGCATATATAAAAATGTATGCAAAAGCTACAGATATTGATGCAAGATTAAAAATAGCAAAAGAACTTGCTAGTTTAAAGAAAAGTATATATCAAGATGATGTAAATGAAAAGTTGGGCTATGATACTTTACAGACTAACTTGGAAAAGTTGTACAAACCAATAATTGATAGTCAATCTGGAATAAAAGAAGGTATATCTAAATTAGAAAATAAAGCTGATCAAATAGCAAATACTTTTTCAAATTATCCTGCTTTACTAGATTCTGAAACTAAAGCAATCATGCCACCTGAAGTTGTAGATAACATGAGATTAGGACCTATCGCAGCAGAATATCTAAAGTTATATACTGCTAAAAATAGTAAAAAAGTATCAGATGATATATTTGGTATACATTACAATGAAAGTGATAAAAAATTTTACATTGGTAAAAAACCAATAACTATTGAAGGTGATGATATAACCATTGAAGGTAAAAAATACATTGGTTCATCAGGCCTTTGGGAGATTATAGTAAAATCTCATCCTGTTAGATATACTAACAATGATCGTAATAAGTATAAAGAAATTTTAAATCAAACAGATGCAATTCGCTCTGAGTTAAATTTAGCTAAACCAAGATCATCTAAAGGTTATAAGTACACTAATGTAATAAAACCTATTTGGGAAGAGATGATTGGAAAGTCTGGAAAAGGAGTTGTTATTCTTCCTAGTGATCCAAATGCACTATTTGATATGCTTAAATTACGCTTAGCTGGTTTACATGCAGGAAATACTGGAACAAGAAATGAGATTGTTGCTATTTGTGATGAGTTGTTACGACAGGGTCAAATAGATGATAATGAGTATAAAGCATTACAGAAAGCAATAATCACAAAGTGATTTAAAAAATTATTTTATATATAAAATGACAAAATACTATTATACTAATATCAATCTGTCAGATAGTCAGAATGAAAAAATTAAAAACGCAATTGAATCTGATACTAATGTTAGTATAAAACTATCATATGAAGATTTAAATGGTGAACACAAATTAGCGTTAACAGACTCACAAATAAACAGAATGGCAGCAGCCTATTCAAAAAATAAAGGTATAACACTTTTACTGAGTAGAGCACAACTTAAATATAATGTTAAAAAAAGTGGTAAAAAAGGTAATAAAAGTGCTGGAAATGCTAATAAAAGTGGTGGAAATGATAATAAAATTGCTGGAAATGATAATAAAATTGATGGAAATGCTAATAAAATTGATGGAAAAGGTATTATTTATGGAAAAAAGGATGGTTATGGATTTAAAATTAGAAAAGTAGGAAAAGGAGTATTTTTAAGCCCATGGAATAGTGGATATAATTATTCAGACGGATATTATTTAAAAAATGGAAATGATTATACATCAATAGGTAAAGAATTGTTATTAGGAGATAATTCTCCAATTAAGAGAGGTGGATTTTTACCTCTTCTAGCATTACTTGGAACAGCACTTGCAAGTGCTGCTCCAATAATTGCAAAGACTGCTGCAACAGCAGCAATAGCAGGAGCAGCAGGGGCAGCTGGAAATGCTATAGTTAATAAAATTGCTGGAAATGGTATTATTTATGGAAAAAAGAATGGTTATGGAATTAAAATTATAAAAGCAGGAAAAGGAGTATTTTTAAACCCATGGAATAGTGGATATAATTATTTAGACGGATATTATTTAAAAAATGGAAATGATTATTCATCAGTAGGTAAAGGATTGTTACTAGGAAATAATTCTCCATTTAAGAAAATACACTTTTTAGGTTCTCTTCTTTAGGAACTTGATCTTCATAAAAATATATATTTTTTTAAAAAAATATATATTTATTGTTTCCACAAAGAAGTTGGATAATAAAATAAATCTAATCCACTTCTATACTTTCCATTTAATAAATCAGAAGACAAATCTATAGCAACAAATCCATGCTTTTTTGACCAAGCTTCATTACAAAACTTTTTAAACTCATCTAATTTCATATCATTTGAAACATGATCATTATAAATATGATTTACATTTTTAGAATCTTGTTTAAACAAGCATATCAAATTTGCATTTTCTCTTATCGTTCTCCTAGGCAATTCAAAATAATTTTGTGCCAAGTAGAAACAATCTACATTGCTATGTCTTCCTCTTATATAGTACTTTTCACACTTGTTTTGTTTTGTTAATTGTAAATCATCAAATATCATTAAATTATTTTTAATACAGTTAAGACTTTCAGGTTCTGGTACATCCTCTGCTGTTTCATAAAACTGACATTCTATATCTGTTTTATCTTTTAAATTTCTTGAAATGTCTTTAATAACAAACTCTGGATTTACATTGTTTTTATTTATTTGATCTTGCAACTTAAATAGTTCAAGAATAACTTCTTTTGGTAATTTATTTTCAAAAGAATTTTTTAATATTTTGTATTCAGGTTGAAAAAGAGATTTTCCAAAAACTTGTAAATGATTATAGTCTAACCAACCAGGTCTTAAGAGCAAGTTTAATAATAATGTTGTCTTTCCACAACCTGATTTTCCAACAATAATCCCTCTTATACTTTTAGGTAATAACTCATTATTTTGACGTTTACTTTTATTTACATTCCATGATAAATCTATAATTTCCATTTTTTATTTATGAAAAGTATTTTTTAAATTAAATAAATTAAAATACATATATAAAAAATGTATTGCGTTAAATGTAAAAACAAAACAGATACACTCAACTTACAACATGCTGTTAGTAAAAACAAAAGAAATATGCAATGTGGAAATTGTGCAATCTGTGGAACAAGAAAATGTCAATTTACAAAAGGAGCACAAAAAGGAGGTGATTTGGTAGAATCACTTAATAAATTCACAAGTAATAAAAAATTACCTTTGCAAAAGTTTCCAGGTGAAATGCATATACCAGGTATGAACTTTGCAGGACCTGGTACAAATTTAGATGAAAGATTAACTTCAACTGAGATGCCTAAAGAATGGAGCATGCCTGTAGATAGAGTTGATAAAACA